ACTGTGATGATCATGATGGCGATGATGACTGTCATGATAGCGATGATGATGATGACTGATGATGATGGTGACGTCGATGATGCTAGCGAAAGATGATGATGATGATGCTGATGATGATGATGACGGTGCGGGTGAGGATAATGAACCTAATGAGAACGATGATAATGATGATGATGATGATGATGATGAATGATGGGGATGATGCTGATGGTGAGGATTATAATGGCGATGATGATGATGATGATGCTGATGATGCTGATGCTGATGGCGATGCTGATGATGAATGCTGATGATGATTATGATGGTGATGGCGATGATGATTGCGATGATGATGGTAATGGTGATGGTGATGATGATGATGATGAGGATGAGGATGATTATGTCAGAAGATGACGGCTGTGATGATGGTGATGATGCTGATGATGATGATGGCAATGATGATGATAATGATGATGATGCTGGTGATGATGATGATGATGGCGATGCTAATGATGGTGACGATGGTGGCGATGATGATGATATGGTTGATGAAGATGATGGTAACGATAATGATAATGAATGATGACGATGATGATGATGATGGCGATGATGATGATGATGATGATGATGCTCATGATGGTGATGACGATGGCGATGATGATGATGACGTTAATGATGCTGATGATGATGATGTTGATGATGATGACGATGAATGATGACGATGAATGGTGATGCTGATGATGGCGATGATGATGGTGGTGATGATGATGATGACGTTGATGATGATGGTGATGACGATGATGGTAATGATGATGACATCTCGCGGGGTGCGTTCTGGCCAAAATCTCTGGGAGAATCCAGCCGTGGTCACGAGAACTTTCCAGGACGAGCAGCGGCATGGGCACCTTCCCTGAGATCCGACGCAGCGGAGAAGTGGAAACATCGATCCCACCTTCCTGCGCCATCCCTCGAGCGCGATCGATCTCTGAGGGTCCCAGGGCCCGCAGCTGGGCACGGACGCCCCGCGGAAAACGTTTTTGGTCGGCGGCTCCAAGGCAAAGGTCAGGGAGCGGAATAAACGACTGGGGCGCAGTACGTAGATAATTGGCCGCAGTGGCGCGAAGGCCGCATAGGCGAGTGCACGTGCCAGGGACAAAATGACCCTCATTAGAGGTGACCGGCTCAACCCCGTGGAAAACGCGCAGCGCCAGGATCTCCCCCTCCGACAAAGACGGCGACTGGCCGGCCGCCTCGCTGTGGCCCGTGGCGGCCGGGGTCCTCGGGGCCTGCTCCTCCCCCTCCTCGGCGGGCGGCCCCGCGAGCCTGGAGGGCAGCGGCAGCGAGAGGGCCGGCGCGGGCGGCGCCGCCGTGGTGGCGGCGGGCTCGGGCAGCTCCTGGCGGGGCGAGGAGTCTCGCTCCTCGGGTGCTCTCCCAGCTGGGTGCAAACCCGAGCATGAGCGAGCGTATGCGCATTTGGATCGGCGATCTCAGTTTGTCCACTATCGGCTCGGGGTTGACCAGGGGATGGGTAAGAGATTGGCGAGGAGAACGAGGAGACAGAGGTTCGTCAGAGGAGGCGCGCAAAACGCGAAACTGAGGAGGTTTACTCATGCTGATCGTCGTTATCATGTTACTAAGCGCATCGAGCTTGCTAGGCCCCATGCGGCCTCAACTTACCGCATGCAGGTTTACCGAGATTTCGACACCCAGCTGACCACCTTCAGGAGATTAGGCTCGGTTGCAAGCGCTTCGAAGAGTGGTCGTTGCCTCACATCGCTTTTGGACATTCGAACGCCAGGCCAAGACCCAGGAGTCAGTTGACCAACTGCCAGCCTGAAGGAGTGGATCCGAGTCTGGATCGAGGAACCACACCTTCGGGCAGGCATCAGGCGAGTCTGGCCGACCACCGTCGAGCATTCTGAGAAGCTCGAGTTCTCCGATTTTGCCAGGCATATCAGAGGACCGCTCAATGCCACGGTGGCCGGTCTCCTCCGTGTCGGATGGGATCCTGCGCGCCCCGATTCCTGGAGGGCTCCCGCGGCCAACGGCGGGTGCGAACTCGACTGGGTGTTCAACGATTCGCTCTCGAGTCGATCGACCGGGCCCGGGACTTGCTCAGAGAGTTTTCAGTCTTGACAGCAGCAGCCTCTTGTGGAGGGAAGCCTCTTGTGAGGAGGAGAGGGGGAGGAGGAGGAGGAGGAGGAGGAGGAGGAGGAGGAGGAGGAGGAGAGTAGGAGGGAGGAGGAGGAGGAGGGTCGTGAGAGAGGAGTGAGGAGGAGGGGGGAGGAGGAGGATGCAGGAGGAGGAGGAGGAGGAGGAGGTTTAGAGGACGGTGCGGACAGCCGATCCCTCCGTGCCTTGCATGCGCAGCTTCAGACGGTCCGCAAAAGGGCAGCAGCTTGCTGAAGGTCTTTTGGATGTCGCAGTGGGGGGATCCTGGACGCTGTCGAGGGAGAAGGAGGCAGGGTTGCTGGAGGATGACACATGCCCCCGATGCCGCGAGTTTCCAGAGACGCCTAGTCGCAGATACTGGCTGCGCAAGTGCAACGACAACCATCCAATCTTCAGCGACACCGACCAGTTGGTCGGACAAGCGCTAGCAGGGCGACGCTACCTCATGGTTTTGGTACAGAGGCGTCATCCCGAGGCTGTGGACCTTGGTTGACCCGCCACCTCAGACCGAGGATTGGAGCCTCCTTGGGGACTCTGAGGGTGCCATTGGCCCTGGGTTATTTGGCTCTGGCTCTTTAGGCGCCCCTCTTTTTGTCTTCGCGGACGCGTCGGGGGGGCCCGAGTCTAGGGATGAACAGCTCAGGTGCGTGGGGCTCTCAGTGGTCACCCTTAGGCGCTTCGATCCTCTAGTCATTGGGCCATCTATTGCTGGACCTCCGACAGGAGAACTCCAGTCAGTCCCCATGGGTGAGCTCAGGTGCTGAGAGGTTGCTATCAGATATAGTATGGTTGTCCTCGTCTACGTCACCGTGCCAGAGCTATGCACACAGTCTTGGGCTTCCTGGGGGTCGCAGTGGGGAACTGCAGAGCAGCTGGTCCCCCAGCGTTGCGTTTGACATGCCAGGTGCCGACGGCGTCCTGGCTCAAGCCCTCTCGGTTTGAAAAGGACCGCGGCCCGCGCGTGCGTGCCGCGCATGGTAGCGGAGCCCGCGGTCTGAGGATCCACGGGTTACTCGTCGCAGGTGCGAGCCCAGCGGCCAGCGGGAGGCTCCGCAGGCCGCGGAAGGCAGCCGCGTCTCTCAGCCAGGCGACCGCGGGTGACACCGCCGTCGCACTTCCCTCCCGTACCCCTCGAGGACCGAGGCGCTGCCTCGGCGGGCGTCGACGCGACGGGGCGCGGGCGACGCGGGCGACGGCGGTCAGAGGACGCCGCCTGGCGTCGACAGCGCCGAGGAGACATCTGCAGGCTGTTCGAGTCGACGCTGGAGCACGTCGAGCGCATCGTCGGGCACGAGATCGACCTGCAGGTGTTCACCCACCGCGTGTCTGGGGACGTCGTCTTCGACGACGCGCTGGGACACGCCTGGCCGCTCGACGTGGTCGACGGGAGCGGCAAATCCTTCGCGAACCGGGAGACCGAGGTCTGCGCGGACTCGTGGCGTCGCGCCTCCGCGACGGAGGAGGCGCTGCAAGCAGCAGCGCAGCAGCAGGCAGCGACAGCGGTCGGCCCCGCAGCCGCGGCCGCGGCCGCAGCAGGAGCGGCGGCGGCGCCTTGACGCCGCGGCGCCACCTCGCTCGCCGACCGCCCCGCAGGCGCCGGACGCCATGGGGGTCGTGGCGGCTCGAGCGGAAGCGGCCGAGAAGCGAGCTCGGGAGCTGGAAGCTCGGGCCGCTCCCGGGAGGCCCCCACAGCCCCCCCAGAGGCCCCAAGAGGCCCCCGAGAGGCGTCCCACGAGGCCAGGAGGAGGCCAAAAGCATAGATGTTCTTCGGGAAAACGTACATTTTTAGCATGCACGGCTTTTCGGCCTTCACGGCGTTGACGACGGCCCCGGCTCCAGCAGCTGCGGCAGGCGCTTCGGCAACGGACCGCCGCGGGGGGAGACACCGCGGCGGCTGCTCCGGCGCCAGCCAGGGCCGAGGAGCGGCGCAGGTGGGGCATCATCGACACGAAGCTGTCGACGAAGCCGGCGCAGTTCAAAGGCAGCGAGGCCGCGTGGCCCGTGTGGTCGTTCAAGCTGCTGGCGCACATCGCGACGCTCGACGACGACCTCTACCAGGAGATGATCGCAGTCGGTCAGAGGGGCCGAGGAGGACGTCACCAACGACACGCTGGACTTGACGAATCCGGCGCTCGTCGGAGCGTCTCGGCAGCTGTACCACATGCTCGTGCTGCTCCTGGAGGGCAAGGCGTTCGCCATGCAGCGGCCCATCCCGAAGGGCGAAGGGCTGCTGGTGTGGCGCAAGCTCGTGAAGGAGTTCGAGCCCGATCCGCCAGGCTCAGTTCTTGGTCGGATGAGGAAGCTGATCGGGTGGGCCTTCGGAGCAGCGACGATCGAGACCGACACGAACGACTTCGACGTTGCAGTCCAGACGCGGTTCGGCAGCAGCTCGGCAGCACGGTGCCCAGCGACATCAAGGCGGCGATCCTCGTCGCGGGGATCCAGGACAGGGACCTCCAGCAGTGGCTGATGGTCAACGCCGACCGACTCGGGGACTACGACGGCATCGCGGAGCACGTGAGGACGTACCCGATGAACCAGAAGACGTTCATGAAGGGGAACTAGGATACACAAATAAATACACACACGAATAAAGATATTTTCACATATTTTCAGGATTTCTGTCTTCCCCCCACTGCCCATATTTTCCTATATTTTCTGGGAATCGCCGATGAATTGTGTCTGTGCTTTTTCCCCTCCTGAGTTCAGGGACGCAGCAAGGGGCACCGCAGCGGGGGCCACCGCAGCGGACGACGGCGGGCCAGCACCGATGGACAGCGGATCCCTGACGGCGGCGGTTGGCGGCAGGAGGCACGGCGCCCGCGGATGTGATGTGATGATGGTCATGAACGCCATCGAGAAGGGGAAAGGAGAGGGGAGGGGGAAAGGCAGAGGAAAAGACAGCGGAGAGAAGGGGAAGGGCTACGACGGAAGCAGGGACTCGCGACCCCGGCACCAGGCGCAGCAGGAGGGCAAGGGCAGGGACAGCCACGATGGTCAGCGCATCGAGACGCGCGAGTGCGGGAAGTGCCATCCGAAGGGTCACCTAGCCCGAGACTGCCCAGAGAAGACTACGAGAGTGAACAGCACAGTCAGCAGGAGGATCGAGCCCAAAGACGTGCTGAACTTGCTTCGGCCGCGTACGCCTGCGACGGGTTCCGCGGCGTCGAGCGCAGCATCCGTGGCACCGAGCCTCGTCACACAGGCGCGTGCCAACGCTGTGCAGCTGTCGGCGGCGAGCCCAGCGGCTGCTCCGGGTGGCGGCAGCGTCAGCTCAGCCTGCGGTGGGGCTGCGGGAGGCACAGCGTCCGCCATCCATTAGGTGCTACGCCTGGCGGCCCGGGCGGCTGGATCCTGTGAATGGGACCTCGAGGCTGCGAGCCCCACAGGCTGGGGGCCCAGGAGGCGACGGCGAGCGTTACAACGAGTACATCATGGTGGACTCGGGGGCCTCACGGGCGACGTGCCCACGCAGCCATGCCCCGAGCGTGGCGATGCGTGAGCCTGCCCAGCACTAGGACATCCGCGCCGCGGACGACGGGCGCGTGACGCACTACGGTGAGAAGGGCGTGCAGTACGACCTGCTAGACAGCTCAGACGTGACTGGAGTGGGCATCGAGTACCAGGTCGCTGACGCCTCACACCCCATCATGGGGGTCGCCGTGGCATGCGACAA